CCCTCCTCCCCCCGCGCGGGGAACCGGGAGCCAGGGCCATGCTCGCTGCTCCTGCTTGGGGGAGAAGCTGTGATGGGGCCACGCGCGGGAGGAGGGGAGAGGTCTGGCCACACGTTTCTTTCCTGCGTGATGGACAGGGTGGGGTGAGTCCATGTGTCCCCCAACCTGTGTGGGAACCAGGGTGCTGGGCTACTGGTGTCCCTGCCTGCTTGAGGGGCAGGGCACAGGGTGAGACAGGGGTACACGTCCCCACCTGCAGTGGGGATCAAGGGGCCAGGGCCACTGGTGTCCCTGCCTGTTGGGGACACACACCTACATTGGGCACTAGAAGTTTGGGGCCACCCCCATTGCTGCCTGCACGGAGGACTGGGGGGTCTGGGTCACGTGTGAGGACAGAGTGGGATGGGGTCATGCATGTCCTCACCTGCAGGGTGCGACGGAGCCACGCTCATCCCTGCCCGCATGGGCACGGGACATCGTGGGGACAGGCAGGGACCCCTTACATCCCACCAGGGGAGGGAGTCCGTGCTGTGCACTGTGGTGGCATAGGGGCATATGGCCCCAGGGGTGTTCCCAGGTGGTCCCCATGTGCATGCTGTCCATAGCATGTGCACAGGTTTGGGATTTTCCAGATGACATCCAAGGCCTGTTCTGAAACCTGGCTGGCTGGTGGGGGAAGGTGGCAGTTCCCCAGTCTGTCCCACCAGCACTGGGGAGAGCTGGAAATAAGCTGTGACTAACAAGGATCGCAGGGGTCAGGCTCCAGGCTTCTCAAATACCTTGAAACTGCTCTCCTCCACCTGGATGGTCACATTAATTCTGCAGTGGGGCTGCTGCCCTCTCAGGATGCTGATATGCCTCACAGTCCCAGCTGACAGGTGGCTCTGGGCAGAGGTCAGGAGACACTTGGAGGCTGAAGTCCTAACTTTAGGGGAGCCAAATCTGCTGAGGTGGAGCTGGAGACCCTTGCTCTGGGGGAAGCCATGTGTTTGCAGTCTCTGCAACATGGTTTTTAGAGGGGTTTGAAACTCCAGGCCTTGATAGGGCACAGGGATCCTCTCTGATGGGAGAAGACAAGGCTGGGGAAGCAGGTGTGTGATTTCACTAGGTGCAGAGGGAAGGAATGACTTTCCAAAGTTGGCACAGGGAAAAGCAGAGACTGGAGGACTCATCAGACCTTACAAAATTCCTGGAAAGCTTGACAAATCTGTGGGAATAATCCAAGCTTGCAAAGCTTTCCCTCGGCAAGCTGCACCATGGGCTTCCAAGGTCAGTCTAGTTTCATTATGTCAAGGAACTCTGTGGGTGGTTTGCAACATTTGGGAAGCAGGTGTGAGAGCAAGAGGCTCTTTCTGGAGAAGCCTGGCAGCTGATCCTCAACACATGGGGGAGCACACTGGGGCATATGAAGCTGGAGCTCTCAGCTGAAGCATTGGAAAGGAGCTTGTGGGACAGCTGAGTGCCACTCATGAGATGCCCGTCTTCCTTGGGCATGAGGTCCCTAGCCCAGATCTGCATGTTCCTCTTCTTGGATGCATCCTGTAAGGACTGCTGTCACTCAGCCTTGCCTGTGAGGAGGTTCCCAGCAATAGCTGGAGAAGGTTTGATAGGCAGGGTGTCAATGTCTCCTCATGCCTTTACAGACCAAGTTCTGCCAGTGAGAGCTGCTCCTGGGGAAGGGAAATGGTTCTTGAGGTTTGGTTGGGAAAGACAATGTGCCCAGTAACTTGTAGAAAGACATAAAGGCAGTCTAGAGGCATGGAAGAGAAGTTCCATGCTGGTGGGAAAGGCCCTCAGAAGTCCATGGTCCAACCTACTGCTTGGAGCAAGACCACCACTGTCACTGTATCACGTTGGCCACGGTTGAGGCTGGAAAGCCTCCAGAGACCCTTCCACAGTCTTGGATTGACTAGGGAATAAGTGGGTTTTCAGAGCTGGGCCACAAATAGATGAAAGTGCATGAGAACTGACATGTCATCTCATGGCTTGGGTCAAGAGCAGTTCCCATATCTGAGGAAATGGGAGGTTTGTTCAGTGACAGAAGGAATTTTAAAACATGTTTTCTGCTGGAGGTCTGTGAGAAGACCCAAGGGGAAGCAGGAGACATGTTACGCTGCAACTGTGGTGACATGCTTTGAGCCTTGGCTTTGTCCCATGTTTCCTGAGCAACTTTCATAAATCTTCCGTGGCACCTTCAGGCCTTGGGTCTAGATGGCGGTTGCAACTCTGTACATTTTGAGTCAGCAGGAGATAAATCCAACTGTGTCTATGGGGACTCCCTTCCTACAGCGTGGGAGGTCATGTGGACCTCTGTGCACAAGCAAACCACAACTGCTGCAGGTTGCTTGGGGTGTCTCCAGTGTGCAGCCCTCCACGTCGGTTTCAGCAAACAACAGGCTGTTTCAATGGGGAGAGCTTTCTGGCAGGAGAGTCCCATGTGGTTGGCGATGGTGACTGGGCTCTGCCGCTCCTGGCAGATCTCCATGCTTCACTCATTGGCCAAACTTTTGTGTTCTTCCTATGGGATGGGGCTCATGGAGCCTCTGGTTCCCACCAGCTCCACAACTCAAATCTCATGTCTACAAGACCGCACACAGCAGAGGGTTGTGGGATGGCAGAGCTCTGGGGACCCTTCCAGAGGGGCGTGCTTCAGGACAGGGGTGGCACTGGGTGAACAGGAACACCACACAATGCTGCTCTTAGCAGCTCTGAGGCCTTCAGCAGCCCCAGCTCCCATGTGCATAGAAGTGAGGCCAGAACAAAAATGCAATCAATGCAGAGGTATTTCAACAGCGATTTAATGTTAAATCCATGTTATGGAAAGCTAACAAAGTGGTTTGCTTGTTATAATGTTTTGTGAGGTGCAGGGCACAGGTGAGTTGTGAAGGAGGAGGAAAGTGGAAATGTCACTTCTTGAGAAACAGCTTGTTTTCTAATGCAAAAGGCCAAAAGTACAGAAATCTCTGGCAGAAGGGAGTTAACACGGGTTATATGCTATGCTTACAATGCAGCAGTGAGTGTACAGCAATTAATGTGAGCACAAATGACAATATTTAAATCTCAAACCACTTCCTTTGATTAGTGGACAGCATACTTAGTGACTCACATTTTACAATTTGTGCCACTGACAGTTAAAAGTGAAAAATCCCCACTGCAGTTCTCAGCAAATAAAAAATAAAACCTACAGAGCTTCAGGCAACATGTAAGCCTTTCTGAAACCATCATTTCTTTAAGTTATGATTAAAACAATGAATTAAAGTAACTAAAAGCATCATTTTTTCTTGCAAAAGAGTGATGTAGGAAAAGCTGACACCTGTGCATCACAACATCTCTTGGCAACACAGCTCCTTTATGCCTTTATGCCTTTAAAATAATGCTAGTCTTTGGATACACACCCGCAGTGCTGGAGCAAGCGAAAAAGAGCCATACTTAGTGGAAAACCCTATCTTGGAGTTAAATCCAAGTTTGGCATTCTTGTGCATGGAAAGCCAGTGGCAGCATTGTAGCACTTATGATGGAAAAATGCAGCCTTCGCTGTTCATGGCTGGGAATCCCTCTCTTCAGTCAGGTGTTGGCCGGGGTTTTAAGGGTTCAGGTCCCACGGGTGCAATTTTCTCTGGATCCAGGGACTTTGTGGAAAGTGAGAGGGTAAATGTTCATGAGAGAGGCTGGTCATGAGAGAGTGCCGTTGAGTTAGCCCAGAGGTGATCAAGAGGTCTTGATCTGCAGTACTAGCACACTTTGGGATGCCTGGCTGCATGCTGAGGCTGTTCCCATCGTGTTCACAGCTGGATTTTGCTTGGATGGGACAATGCAAGCACAGAGAAGTTGCCAGCTGAAACATGCCTGTTTCTATAACGAAGAGCATGTTTCTGTAGCGCAGCCGGCACAGCTTAACATCTTCCTGCTGTGGATGACGGGTTGTGAACCTCCAGCTGGGATACCCCAAGGCAGGTACTGGTCCTGCTCCAGCAGAAAGGTCTTCTCAGGCTGGTTGACACCTCCTGACAGAGCTTTCCCAGGGTGATGTGATCTCATGTGCCCCCTGCCACCTTCCCACAGTCCAAATCGGCAGGTACTGATGGATGATGATGGCAGCGGGGTTTTACCAGCCACCAGAAACCACAAGAGGGAGCTGAGATTATGGTCTGTGCGTGTTCCCAGCCTCCGGGAGTAGACCAGCTCCAACTCCCTTCTCTCCTTTTGCAGATCACTGGTTCCAGAGACCCGGTGTCCGATGCAACCAGCAAAGATTATGTTGAGTTTGACCGTGGTTCTGCTAGTGACATGGACCTTGGGGAGTAAGTACGGTTTCAGGGGAGAGGATCCAAGGGGAAATAGTTCCTGTGGCTCGGAGGAATTTCCTCTAACTCATGGGGCATCATATCAGAGACAGGGATGATTCAGTTTGTGATGAGATAAGAAAAAAATGGAGCAAAATGCTGCACTTGTAGAGCCTGCAGCTTGGGAGACTCACTGCTGTTTCTGTGTGTACACAGCTTGTAACCAGGAATTGGATCTTCTTGCTAATATTATCATAAAAGCAACAAATATTAATACAAAGGAAATAAAGTACCTACTTATTCACAAAGGCTGATGCTGATACACAATGCACGGAGAAAAGCATAACTCCAGTGTCACGTGGACATTGACTCACATGGACATTGTAGGGGTCAGAAGTAAGAAGAGACTTCTTCTGATACAGAGAGAGAAGGAGAAAATGAAGATCCTTTGGGAGTAGACTGATGGGGGCCAGAAATTGATTTGGGACATCAGGAGCATGAGCATGAATTTCTCATTTTAGACATCGCTTATCCCTCAAAAGGAGTGCAAAACTTGTCTAAAAAACTTCATACAGAAAGTTTCAGAAACAATATGGGAAAATATCACAATATAAATATAATTCTGTAATGGAAAACCCCTTTTCATGCTTTTTTTTTTGCTGCTCACCAAGTGGGTCTGGTCTCCTTCACAGGAGCCGAGGAGAGCATCTCCTGGGAGGTCCAGCGCTATGACGGCTGGTACAACAACCTGCTGCCCCACAGCCGCGGCTCAGTGGGTGAGTGTCAGGCCCGGGGACGGTTATGGTGGGACAGGGTGAGCTGGCACTATGGCACCTAGCTTGCTTTACAACTGAGAGAGAAACCCTCTCTGACTTAAGCCTGAACCAGGCAGGTGACCAGGCAGGTGACCAGGCAATGCCACCTCCTGTGGCCCTGAGAGGTGCCTCTTGGCACTCAAGGTAAGTTCTTAAATGCACCCAAGAGCCCCGTTATAGCAGTCTGGAGGGGCCAAGCAGCCCAGCTTTGTCTCCCATGTCCTGGCCTTGCCACTCCTACCTGCTGCCCAGGCACCATCTGCAGGTCATGCTGGTGTTGGATCAATCACAGAGCAAAGCCGTGCCTTTGCAGGCCCATTCAAAATATCCAAGGTATGGAGGACCCAGCTCTTCCCAGCAGGTGTTTCAATGATGGTCAGCTACCCCAGAGCTGGGAAAAGGCATCTTTAGCCAAAATCAGCATGCAGTTGAAGAAGCACTCAACACAAGGCCAGACACAGATGAGTTTATGGTCTGGCCATGCTGGACCTACTCCTTTTCTGCTCTGCACAGGGCAGATATTGCACTGTTGGGCTGCTGTGCAGCATTTACTGGTCTGTACTGGGACAGGCATGCAGGATTTCCATGTGCCAGTGGTAAGCTGCGTTCTCATGCCTACAACCAGCCTATGGGCCCACCTCCAGGAGATGCCCTCAAGCCAGGGACCAGGGCAGATCAGGCAGGATCTTATCTAAAATACTGAAGATTATGAATTCTACTTCCAGCAGCCGAGCTTGGTCACCTACATGGTGACGCAAGGCGTGGTGGCAATTACACATCTTCCTCTGAGCCCAAATGCCTCTCCAACACGGTATGTGTGTCATCAGCCCTTTGGTTATACCAAAGCCTGTCAGAGAGATCTAGCAAGTCCCTGAAAGACAAGATCTCCTCACTCTTTCAGAGCAGACATCAGACCTTAACATTTGGAAATAAACCTGTGGAAATTAAGCCCAAAACTAAGCTGATAATTCAGGATTTCCTTCAGCTCTGGGCAGCTCCAGCAAATGAAGCCCACCACAGTGCTGAACAGCTTTTTGAAATGAACTTGCTCATCAGTGAGAAATGACCTCCTGCCTCTGGGCTTTTCAGTTACAGGACAGGCAGTGAGTGTGAAGTTAGGGTGTTTCTCTCTCATCTTCTCATTTGTCTCTCTGCCTCTCCAGCTGTTCTCTTCCCTGTTTCCTACGGTGTTGGTAATCACCATGCTTGTGTAGGATTGCATAGTCAACATGGACAGCTTAACATCACTCCATTTACCCACTGGAGCACACCACCCCAGGCCTCCAGGAGGCAATGGGGATGCACATGGACAAGAGAAGACAACTGGAAGGGAACATACCCATGAAGGATCCCTCCCAGTTTTAAGAGGACTGATCCCTGTGTTGCAAGCAGTTTTGTGTGTTGGTATCAAAGCTTGCATGTTCTTGGCCACTGTAAGCATCTCTGTCACCCTCTTGCGCTCTTCTGGGACCCTTGCACATGCTGGTGTACCCTGCTATTCCTGCATCTCCTGTCTGTTGGGTGCTGCTGGACCCACCCCATGTTGCTCTGGTGCTGCAGGCGACAGGTTACTGCGTCTCCTGCCGGCCAACTACGGAGATGGTGTCTACAAGGCACTGCAGGAGCCCCACGTTCCCAACGCTCGCCAGCTCAGCAACGCAGTGGCACGAGGACCTTCCGGGCTGCCCTCCCACAGGAACACAACCGTGCTGGCTGTCTTCTTTGGTAAGAGCTGGGGACTGGCACCAGGTGGAAAAATGTTGGTGTCTCACACCCTAGGGCCACATGTCAGACCACTCCTCACCCACCTCTTCATAGCAGATCCACACCCAAAAGACAAAGCCTTGGGTATTGCCATACTGAAGTACCATCCAGCCAAGAGAGTCCGTGTGAATTTTCAGTGGCCTTTGGCAGTTGCCCCAAATGCTGATATTTGTCATTTGGGAACTTCCTCATTTGTTTAGTGGTAGAGTTACCCCGTTGCAAAACACCTGACATGTGATAAGAGCCATGCTGTGAGAGATTGCTGGGCAGAATTGCTGCAAGTCAGAGCAGGTTTTGCTGTTGCTTAGGAGCTCAGCAGGGCCTTGGGTCTCCAAGCCCAGGGATCTTGGGTCTCTGGGAAATACCTTCCACTCACTGAGAAAACAGATGAACTTGTCAAAGAAGTGGAGCCAATTAGCTCCCCATACAGCTTAAGGTTCAGACATGTCCCCGGACACCCTAGACAGGGTGCTTGGCGCCAAGATGGGCCACAGGAAGGGCAGACACTAGTGTGGTACCATTTAGCTTCTGCCTGGAGGTAGCTTTTCCCATCACACCAGAGGTCAAATGGGCGAACAGCAACGACAGCCACCAGGCTCAGCATCAGCACCAACCCTTGGCCTTAAAGGCCACAGACAAGGAAGAGCTCAGGGAAATAGTGGCTAAATGCAGAGCCTTGCTCCTGGTGAAATAGTGGCCAGCAGATGGTCCAGCTGCCGATGGCCTCTGAACATCTGGCTGAGCTTCTCCACTCTGGTCCCTGAATGACCCTACCCTACACCTGAGGTCTGGCAAGGGGCCTGGAGCCCTGTTCTTGTGGACTGGAGCTCAGCCCATCTGGGCTCCAGACCAAAGTGACTTTTTCAAAGTTGTGGAGCAAACGAGCAGTGAAGGCAGGAAGGAAACCACTCTTGCTGCACAGGGTGGTCCCCTTAGCCCATGTGCAGCTCAGATGCTCACGACCAACATCCTGCTCTAGGTGCTGGTGGCAGTCCTCCCAGCTGCTGACCATGCTTGCATCTCTGGCAGGTTTCCATGTGCTCTTGGACATCCTGGGGACAGAGAAACCCGGCTGCCCTGCTGAGTTCCTGAACATCCACATCCCATCCGGAGACCTCGTGTTTGACCCTGCAGGCACTGGAGACGTGGTCCTGCCCTTCCAGCGCATCCACTGGGCAACAGAGACGGGACAGAGCCCCAACAGCCCCCGGGAGCAGGTAGGTAGCATTTTCTTTGCTCTTTGCCTTTCAGCTAAATTCCTTTTCACCCAATACTGGGGATCTGTAGCAGCCAAGATAGTGTTTCCAGAAATAAAAGGAGCTCACCAGAGTTTCCTTAAAAGTATACGTCTCAAGTGTTTGAACCAATTGCAAATGAACCCAAGGCACAACCTCCAAGGTATTGGTTCACACGGAGCAAAGTCTGTGGTTGTTCAAGGTCAGTGTTTTTCTTGGCCAAAGAAAGCGTAAAGCCTGTGTCATCTGTTTTAACACAAATTTGAGCATCTTGCATGGTTTATGGAGGGCAGAAGAGGAAAGGGTAAAACAGGAACGATTCGCAGTTTTCCTTGGCTGCCGAAGCTTACATCACTTCAGTCAAAACGAGCAAAGGTAGGGCTGTCTGTATCTGGCGAAACAAGTGATAACTGGAGCCTTTTTAGCACAAGTTTATACACTTGTGCCACTCTAGGTGGTCAATAATTATGAAGCATTTTTTTAGGCACCAACTCTTGTCTTTAATAATGTATCACAAAACTGAGCCAGTACTGTCAGAAAGTTATAAAGCTTCACTGAATTTCAGTCATTTTGGAAAAAATCCAGATTTCCCCCCAATTCCTCTGTATTTTGCTGTGCTGAGGCTGGATGTGTTCCCAAGCCCATGTGATTTTTCTTCCATGCTGGAAAGCTTCCCAATCAAAATCACCGAAGGAAAATACTCCCCTGAACCTTTCACATGACAAACGATGATAAGACCAGATTAGAAAGTCATGTTTTTAGCATTTCAAACATTAGAAAAATAAAAAATCCAGCATGTTTTTCAGACTGAAAAGGAAGTTTTCATGAAAACATTTGGCAAGGGAGATATTCAACATGCTGCCAGGGCCGTGACACTCTCTGCTGCTAGGACAGGGATCCCCAGAGGAGACAACTCCAGTGTTTCCAGTTTCCCCAGAGACTGGTTTAGTCCCCTTCTAGCTTGGTCTTGCCTACATAGGGATTCATAGATGTCTGCTTCTGGGCACAGCTGAAAATAATTGGGGAAAAAAACCCCGAAATGTACTGTTGAAAAACCTGTACCTGGTCTTTTCCTGTACCTGGCAGTAATTCCTGCAGTTTGCATAGAGATTGTCAGTGTATACATTTGCATCCTGATAGCTCTTAAAACAGGGGATAGGGTGGCTGTTTTGCAAGACTAAAAGGGTTGGGTTGGGGTTTTTCAGACTTTTTTTTTTTTTTGGACGTTTCCACTGAGACCCCAGCGCCTGTTAATGCCCATTCCTTGTGTCTTCCCTAGACCAACGAGGTGACAGGCTGGCTGGATGGCAGCTCCATCTACGGCCCTTCACACTCCTGGAGTGATGCCCTGAGGAGCTTCTCGGGGGGACAGCTGGCATCGGGGCCTAGCGGGCGCCTCCCAAGGGAGACAGATGGGAGGGTCCCCATGTGGAAGGCACTGGATCCATCCATGGGACAGGGTGGTCCTCGAGGGATCTATGGTAATGGTGGCATCCTTGATGGGTTTTCACCTGCTTGTCTCCATCCCTGATCATGAGCAGATGGAGCGGGCAGTCCCTAGAGCTGAGTCCAGAGAGGGAAAGGGTAGGGGGGGTGCAGTGAGCAGGGACATGTGGGTCAGGAGTCCCGTGGGAGAGCAGGCAGTTTCCCAGCCCAAGGAGGAGGAAGATGTGTGCCCTGGCATAGGCTTCCCAGCAAAGCCACACTGTGAACTTAAGGTGCTGCATCCCTGGGAGGTAATGGGTCATTTCCCAGTCAACATGCAGAGACTGGTAGGTGCTGGTCCCTCTGATCCAAGGTGATGTTCTCTGGGGAAAGGGGATGCCGCTGATAAAAACCTGCTCACCTTGTTTTGAATTCCTCTCCCGCCCAGCCTTTGGTCTGTGCTGGGGGCCTGGTGCTGCATCTCGCTCACTCAGGCTGCTTGTCTCCCTGGGGAGGAAGGAAGGGTGAGGGGCCGAGGGGATGCTGGGCTGGAGCCACAGGACTGAGGGTGCTCCTCTAGCCACGGACAAAGCTAGACCCAGTCATAGGAACCCCCACTGATGGTCCTGGCGGCTCTTGCAGACCTGGGGAGCGCCTGGGGGAACGAGAACCCTTTCCTGCAGGCTGAGAGCATCGCCTGGTTTCGATACCACAACCACCAGGCCATGATGCTGGCCCAGGCACATCCTACCTGGTCTGATGAGGACCTCTTCCAGCATGCTCGCAAGCGAGTCATCGCCACTTTTCAGGTGAGGGATGGGACACCCTGGCTCTGGAGGGACCCCTGACATCCTCCCCGGCACTAGCCCTGACCCAGCTCCCCTGTGCCCTAGAGCATCGTGCTGTACGAGTGGCTGCCAACCCTGCTGGGGAGACATGTCCCGGATTACAATGGTGAGGGGCATGGCGGGTGATGGTGTGCAGGGAGCAGGGGTGGGGGGACCAGGGGAGCCAGGGATGGGGCAGGAAAGGGGCCTCGGCCCCCTTTCCCCCCAGTCTGGCTGCTGGATTGTGGCTGCTGCCCTGCAGGTTACCAGCAGCACCTGGACCCCAGTCTCTCACCAGAGTTCACGGCAGCTGTGGTCCAATTCCTGGCCACCATGGTGCCACCAGGTGTTTATAAGAGGTAGGAGCAGCCCGGTGGGGCTGTGGGAGAGTGGTGTCTGTGACAGGACAGGGGATGCCCAAGCTGGGATGGTGGCTGAGGATGATCCCTGTCCCTTCCCCACATTCTGCCCCTCACTGGGACAACCAAGTCCTGTCAGCTCGGGGTAGCTCTGGCCGGAGGCTGTTGGTCCAGCCCTTCTCTGCTGTTCCAGAGACCCCAACTGCAATTTCCAGCAAGTGCCTGGCCCCAGTGGTTCATTCCCAGCGGTGCGGCTCTGCAACAGCTACTGGAGCAGAAAGGTATGGGGAAGGGAGCTCGGGGGTCCTGAGGACATGGCGGGCTGGCCAAGGGGGTCTTCATTCCTTGCTTTATGTTATGCAGGACCCCACAGGGGTCTGGAAAGGAAATTGGGTGCAGGGCATGACAACTAATCAAAGGGTGTGAGATCTTCCCCATCCAGGCATCTTTAGATGCTGCCTTCAGCTGCAGCAGGCTCAGACCTCAAGATTGAGCTGACGTGGAGAAAATGAGCCTGGAAGAAGTCCCTGGTCCCCCTACACCCAGGGTCTGCACCCTATGGCACCAGTTCAGGGGCATGACGCTGTCCTATGTCCTTGGTTCTGCAAGGAATCACCTGCTCTTCCCATCTCCCCTCAGCTGCAGCAAGCGGAGGATACAGATGTGGACAACATCCTGCTGGGGATGAGCTCACAGATTGCAGAGCGGGAGGACAACATTGTGGTGGAAGATCTCCAAGGTCTGCACTCCCCTGAACTGCAGCTGGTGTGTTGGTGGGGGACCCCCTTTCCTGGGGCTGTGCAGGGGCCGAGGTGGGGAGGCAGGTCCCATCACCACTGCCATCAGCACCTAACCACACACTCAGACCAGCTTCAACCTTGTTAATGAGGTGTAGAGAAGCTGCAGGGCATGTTAAGCATGTCTGTGGGATCGTCCTGGCAAGGGCATGGAGATGATATCCATGTTCAGCATGGCCCATGGCAGAGGGACTAGGCCAGCCCAGCAGCTATGGCAGCTGGGGTTGCTCCTCCAACTCTGCCTTGCTATCACCATTGGCTTCAAATCCATCCACAGATTACTGGTATGGGCCCCTGAAGTACTCCCGCACCGACTATGTGGCCAGCTGGCTTCAGCGCGGGCGAGACCTTGGCTTGCCCACCTATAACCAAGCCCGGGAGCAATTTGGGTTGGAGCCTCTCCAGAACTGGTCAGACCTTGCCCCACACCTGCAGCAACAGGTAACAGGGAACTGGTCTGGGCACGGGAAGTGTGTGGGTCAAAGGATGCTGGGGCAGTCCAGGCAGTAACTGGCTTCTCCAGTAGCGTAGGAAGAGGGACATCAGTGTGCATCCTGCCCTAGCTTATTTTTATGCCTGTGGGGCTGTTGCATTGGGATAACAATGTAATTACATAGCATGAATAAATACATCCTGCCCCAGTGCTAAGCTCCCATGATCACCCTGGAGCTGAGAGCTCTAGGAGTGATGTTTAGTTGCTCAAGTCCAAGCCATGAGCTCAAGGCTGAGTGGGGCTGAGCTGGGGAATGCACGTTCCTTGCTGCTCCTGAGGCTGCCAAGATTTTCTGATGGCCTGGCAGAATTCCCTCAGCTCACATGTGTGGTGGGGGTTTCTGGCCAGGTTCTGGAGAAGGTTGCTGCCCTGTATGCCAACAACACAGCTGGGCTGGAGCTGCTCCCTGGAGGCATGCTGGAGGCTGACGGCTCCCTCTTCAGTGCCATCATCCTGGACCAGTTTGTGCGCCTGCGTGATGGTGACAGGTTTTGGTTCGAAAACACCAAGAATGGGTAAATACCTCTTCCCCATCTGGTCATCTGCCTGCTGCTCTGCAAGCCCCAGTAACACACAAAAACTGGGGCTAGAGGAAAAAACATCCTCCATCTTCCTCAGTTCCTAAATCAGTGCAGGGAGTGAATCCCTCCTGCTGCAAGCCAGTGACATCTGGGGCCACCACTTGGCCCCATGTCTTTTTTCCCCCAGTCTGTTCACAGCAGAGGAAACCAGGGAGATTCGTAACACCACCTTCCATGACGTTCTGGCTGCTGTAACCTACGCAGACCCCAAAGACCTCCAGGCCCACGTGTTCGTCTGGGGCAAGGGTGAGTGCTTCGTACAATGGCAGAGTGCAGGGAGTGAACGGCACCAGCAAGTTAGGGAGGAAAGCAGACTCATCTCGGTGACACAGCCGGTGCCTCAGTGACACAAGCAAAGCATCAGGCTGGCAGTTTCTCAAGCCCAACAGCTGCTATGCCCCTAAGCCAGCAAAATCTATGTAAAATGCAAGGGTTGATTGTAAGCAAGGCAGGTAGTGCTGATCTTGAAAGCAACCTGAAGTCCAGGCAAGTGCATTGCATGAGTCCTGGAAGCATCTCCAGGTACAAAAATGCAATTGACACCCTGGAAGGTCATGCTGGGGCTAAAACTCGGCCTCTGCCTATCTTGCACTGTCATACTCCTCACTGACGTGTCCTCTAGCTCCTTCTATGTACAAGCAGACACAGGTCTCCAGGTTAAACTTATAAGTGACCTGAAACATGATGAAGTTGGCAGATCAGTTAACCTTTGCATACTGCAACGTTGCCTGCTTTTGCCTTTAATTGCATCAGCCCCTGAATATGCCCTGGGTGCTGCACTGCAACACCCACTCCTGCCCCGCTGCTCTGCTGACAGGACTGTTGGTTAACCAGCACTGCTGGAAGGGCTGCCCAGGCTTTCCTGCAGATGTGGTTGCAACAGCAGCATGAAGTGTGCCAGCCAGCTTTCAGCCTGGGGAGAGCTCAGGGCTTGTGTCCCAGCACATTTCGGGTTCCCAGCAGGCTAGGAGCAGCCTACTCCTGTGTTGATGTGCACCCCTCACCTTGGTACCCTACTGTACTGTCCTTGAAATTAGCTTTCCTCTCCCTGCCAAGACCCAAAAAGAGTCCTGCTGCCATGCTCAGGGTGCGGTGCGATCAAACACAGCAGTATGCCTTTTTCTGTTGGGATCTTGCCACACCCTTCCCTGTTACCAACAGCATTTTATGTGGCCCGCGTTCCAGCCCTTGCAAGGTGTTTTGGTTCCCTTGGTGTATGCTCCATGCAGTTGCACCTGGGGGACTCCCTGGATTTGCAGGCTCCAGATGTGTAGAGGCTTTGAGCCATTTGCCATGGCCCAGGGTCCTTCTTGTTCAGCCCACCCCTTAGGGAAAGGTGATGTTGCTGAACTCTTGAGTCCAGTTCTGCACTTCGTTTGCTGTGGCAGGCAAAGGTTCAACCCAAAAATGAGGGTTGTCCCCCAAGATCTGGAGTTTAACCCATGTACCCCAGTTTTGCAGTGCTCCCTGGGTCACTTGACAATGAACCCCACCTGCATCTTCATGCAGATGTTCCTGGGGATGATGGAGGTGAGATGGGTAAAAAGTCCATGATACTCACAGCCTGTTTCCCACTATGCAGGGGACCTGTGCCCCCAGCCCCAGCAGCTGACGGCTCAACACCTGGCCAACTGCACGCCCATGATGGTGCTGGACTACTTCGAAGGCAGTGGCGCAGGCTTTGGGATCGTCATCATTGTCCTCTGCTGTCTGCCTTTAGGTTTGCCACTGTCTTTCTTTATCCATCTCCTTTTCTACTGGAGAAAGGGGCTGAGTGCCCATGGATCAAGCATATCCCAGCAAGAGTTGCCAAGTCTTGGTCACTCCTGAGGTCCTTGAGGTGGCAGGGTCCTTGGGCACCAGGAGGGAGCAGGGCTTTCATGGAGCAGCCCTGCATTAAATAAATCCATATAGCATTGAGCTGAGGGTGACGAGGAAGAAATAAACCCCTGTCTGCCCCAGTCACACAGGTGATGTTTCCAAAGTGGGAAGGAGCTTTGTGATATCTCATGCCTCCTTCTCCCGTGTGTCCCCAGTGACTCTGTTTGTTGCCTGGATTGTTGCCATTCTCCGCAAGAGGGATTTCAAGAACTTGCAGAAGAAGCAGGGCTGCAGCGTGCGAAGGGAGGTGGCTGGCGAGGTGATACACGGTGAGGTGGCACTGTCAATCCTGTGGTGGCGTCTGGTGATGCTGCTAAAGTCAGGGCACATACCAAGGCCGGGCTGGACTTGGAGCTTAATGCAGACTGGATGTAAAAAGAGAAACCGTTTCCCCAGGAGGATAGTCAAGCAGTGGAGCAGGTAGCCCAGAGAGACTGTGCAGTCTCCATCCTATCCAAGACCTGACCAGATAAAGCCTTGAGCAGACTGGCCTGACCCTGTAGCTGGTCCTACTTTGGGCAGGAGGTTGGGCGAGAGACCCTTCCAACCTGAGTCCCTTCCAACCTGAGTCATCCTATGACCCTCCTCCTGTGTCCCTGCACTTGAGCTCTGCAGTTGCGTGGTCATCATTTTCACCTTAATATATGTTTGGTCATGAAATCACTCCCAAACCACATCTCAGTGAAGGAGGTGCTGGGATGAACATGAGCCCAGGTGGGCCTTTCCAGCTGAGTCCTATGCTCTCTCCCATCAGCCATGGAGTGGCAAGGTCCCAAGACAGACAGCTCTCCTGTCTACATTCAGCTGCAAGCTGACAAAGTGCTTAAAGTGCTGGATGGGAGAGGGTCTGTGCTCCGGAGCATCAGCCTGAAAGACCATCAAAGGGTAGATGTGATCCTCTCCAGCAACAAAGGGAACAAAGCTCTGCTCCTGAAGAGCCCCAAGGAGTACGACCTGGTGAGTACCATGATGCCTGGGGTATGATATCTTCCCCTGGACCCTCTGGAATCCACTGCTGCTGGTCACGTACACCCTGTGCCACTCAGTCCTGGACACCAGGTCCCTGAAGGGTGGCTGTGGCCTCCTGAGAGCCACCAGGTCCAGCTCATATCACGGAGCAACCACTGTGGTGAAGAGCAGCAGCACTCGCATCCTGACTGAGTCTCTGCTGCTCACAGCCATTTGGTGGGGTCTTTTGCAGGTGCTGCTTTTCGGCGAGGAGGCAGAGAGGAGCAACTTCATTGGGAAGCTACAAGGCTACTTGGAGGAGAGCAGCCTCGATCTGCATATGTCTGAGATGAAGGAGCAGAGTCTGATGAAACGGGCAGTCACCCAAGAGCAGAGAAAAAAAATTCTGGAGACTTTCTTCAGGCACCTGTTTGCTCAGGTATGTAGAGGCGTGGCAGGCTCTGATGCAGGGAGGAAGGTATTTCTATATTGATTAAGCAATGGATGTTGCTGCCGTTAGTTTCCATAAGAGCTGGTAAGCCATGCACAAGGAAGCTGCCAGTACTTTCAGAACCAAGGGACATTTTCCCTTGCAGAAGACAACGGGAGTTCTGCTGTGGTGATATTAGTGTCTGAAGTTGCAAAGAGACTTTTGGATGATGCAACTGAGGTCTCCATAATGGCCAGTAGTGTTTAGTGTGAAAGTAGGAGAAACAGGGGACTTCCCCATGGTATCTGCCACGAGTTTTGTGCCAGGAGAGCTGCTGGTCTTTGTGCAATAGGTCAGGCAAGTGAACACCAGCCTTCTGCTCTGCCAGCACTCATGGGATTTCTTTTGTGGGACACCACCTGCAGGTGCTGGAAATTGACAGGTCCGATGCTGGAGAGCTCAACTTCGAATCTTCACAGAAAGCAAAGGAGTCTCTAACATGTGAGCTGAGCAGGGCTGAGTTTGCTGAGGCCCTGGGGCTCAAAGCCAATTCCATGTTTGTGGACTCCATGTTCTCGCTGGCTGACAAAGATGGCAATGGCTACATCTCCTTCCGGGAATTCTTGGACATCTTGGTGGTCTTCATGAAAGGTGGGAGCCGGAGCTGGTAATGTCTTCCTCTGTTGCCCTCAGTCCTGCTTCTAGGCTCTGGCAATGCCACCAGCAGAGCAAAGGACAAGATCCATCCAGCAGGTCAATCTGTAGACACTCCTACAGATTAAAATTCCCCTCGCTTAGGACAGCTTCAACTTGAGTTATGGGGCAGTGACAATATAATTATGTTTTCTGAAAGGCTGTTCATGAGGGGAGCTATCTTTTGCTACCATAGACAAGTCTGCCCTGTCTTCTGAACAGACCATGCATCCTGTCCTTGAGAGATGGCAATAACTGTATCTGATACCATATCTGATCCTCCCTAAATGACCACTGGCAAATGTGGATTTGTAGATGGAGGTGACGAATGCCAGATTCAGTTAAAGCCGCTCCCAGAAAAATCATTGCTGTGAAGAAGCACGTTTTGAGTTTGCAAAACAATGCACAAGAAAGAAGGTGTATCTACCTGATTTTTCACCTTGCACTTGAGAAAGTCAAGTGGAAAGGCAGCATGCTATTCACATTCAGTCACTAGTCAAGCTGCAATCAGCAGTGTGCTTTCAGTCTTTTCAGAGCTGGGTGAGGCTTCACTGCTGCAAGTCCAGACTCTCAAAGACAACATTTGAAAGCATCTTTGCTGATGAAAACAGGATCTTGTTCCTACTTCACCTCTCTCCCTCCCCACCAGGATCCCCCGAGGAGAAGTCCAAGGTGATGTTCAGGATGTATGATATTGATGAGAATGGGTTCCTCTCCAAGGACGAATTTCTGAGGATGCTCAGGTACCTCTCGTGATCTCTCTAGATGTTTTCACAATGTCTGTAAACATAGACGTCTTCAAAAGCAGCTTCCAGTTTCTGTGCTTCACTCCCCAAGGGTGCTACAGGAGAGTCCATGGGCTCTGGGGTTCTGCCCTGTGTTATTTGAAGGACTCAAGCTGTGGTCTTCTGAAGTTCCCATCTCCCCTCCTTGCTCCAGGTCCTTCATTGAGATCTCCAACAACTGCCTGTCAAGAGACCAGGCAGAGCAGGTGACCGAGTCCATGTTTCGGGCCTCAGGGTTTCATGACAAGGATGAGCTGACATGGGAGGATTTCCACTACATGCTGCGGGACCATGACAGCGAGCTTCGTCTCACCCAGCTCTGCATTAAAGGTCAGTGGGCAGGAGCACTGGGTCATCTCTGGCCCTGCAGAGCTGGAGGCGATGGGCAGCACCCAATATGTAGCACCTAAATTTTGTCCCATCAGTCTCACCAACCCAACTGCAGTAATGGGGCATCAGCTGTCGTTCCATGTGCTCCACATGTCAATGACACGTTCGGGTCAGTTCAGAGCCTCTCCCCACCACACATCTGCCCAGGGGAGATGCCTAAACCTTGTCCACTGCATCTCACACATTCTGAAAGTCTGTTTGTCCTTTCGGCTCCTCAAAGGTGTCCCCGAGGTGTTCAAGCAAAACCTGCACAACCGTGTCTCCTTCATAAAAAAGAGCAAGAAGAAAGGGTAAGTTCTTCTCCTTAGTCTTGTTGCTGCTGCTATTTCTTCTTCTTTTTCTGCCCTGATGCACACTCACCCTTCACCTCCGCCCCTCCAACAAGTGCTCCCCCAAGGGTATTGGCACACCCAGTGCTGGGGAAGAGGGACAACCATGCTGGGACATATCCATGAGCAAGTCAAACGCTGTGGTGGGGCTGCTGCCCTCCTCCTCTGGCACCCAGGCAGGCAGAGGGGAGGAACTGCTTCCTGCAGAGCCCTTGCTGTATCCACTATGTGGGGATGGGAGTCCTACCTTGCTTTTCAGAGGCACGGGTTATCTTGGAGTAAATCCAGACTGTGTACCGTGCATTAAAGTAAATGCGAGCAGGCTTGCAGGGAAGAGCTGACACCTCAGCTGAGCCTGAGATGGGAAGTGGAGAAATGGGAAAAATTTTGGCAAGCCCTTCCTGCAAGTACAGCTTTGGGCTAGACATAGCTCTATTTCCAACAGAACCATCTCAGAGGAGGAGAAAGACCCAAACCTGGACACTGTGAGCCACTATGTGGAGCGAGAAGGGCAAGAGCTGAGGAAGAGACCAGGCAGAAAGTGAGTACGCCCTCTCCTCGCTGTGCTCGCGTCTTGTCTTTGGGTTTAGCCTGTTTGTTTTTTCTCCTGTCTCTGTGTCAGACTGGGTGGCCCTCTGGTCAAATGGCACTGCTGCAAGAAGCCAGCACCCCCGTGACAGCAGTGCAACATAGGGAGGGGATGTGAGACCGTCCCTGCAGGACATGCCTCAGCCCAGGCAGGCACATCACAGCCCTCACTGGCCGAGGAGCTATGGGAATAGTCCTTTCTGAATGGGGACGGTGCAGTAGCTGGGTCTGAGTGATGTGCCTCTATTAAAAAAAAAAAACAATGAACTGGCCAACTCCAGAGTCAGGGGTAGTGGTTTTTAGAGTGTGTGCCTCACTCGCAGAGAGGGGCTTTGCCTGGCAGGTCCTGCCTGTGCTCCTCTTCCCCTTGCGAAGCTGCTGGTTTACCTGTGGGCTGCCTCCAAGAGCTGCAGGAGAGACTCTGGTTCTCACTGCTGTGGCAGCAGCAGATATTTCTACAAGGAAGCAGTTAAGTGGTTGTTATTCATGGCCAGAATTTCCT